CGCGGCCAAAGGCCGCCTACGCAGAGAAAGTCTGCCCAAAAATACTTCCGCCCTTCTTTTCCGGCAAAACAGAAAGGAGAATTCTACTTAGTAAGGGTTATAATCCCTAAGCGCGGCCGAAGGCCGCCTACGCAGAAAGAAGTTCTGCGCAAAAATACTTCCGGTCCCCTTTTCCGGCAACACAGAAAGGAGAATTGTACTTAGTAAGGGTTATAATCCTTAAGCGCGGCCGAAGGCTGCCTACTCAGAAAAAAGTTCGTTTTCATGTATGCACTATTTCGGTTTTTGTCATATGCATTACTTCGGTTTTGAGTCGAAACCGTGCATGTATGCATTACTTCGGTTTATGTCATATGCATTATTTCGGTTTTGAACCGAAACTGTGCATGTATGCATTACTGCGTTTTTCTCATATGCGTTATTTCGGTTTTTAAACGAAAGTGTGCATGTATGCATTATTTCGATATTTTCATATGCATTATTTCGGTTTTCAACCGAAACTGTGCATATATGCATTATTTCGGTTTTTTCATATGCATTATTTCGTATGCACAGTTTCCATATGCACAATTTCAGGGTGCCGGGTCAAAGGTCGGGTCTTCGCAAAATTAAAAACCTTATATTTCAAAAAATTTTGAACTTATTTTTAAAAAGCGTGTTGTAAACGGGGTTAAACTCCCTTTCTTCTAATATGCATATGTGTATACTTCGTATGTAAAGATTTGTTAATAAAACAAATATTTTAAATAAAAAAATTACTAACCGAATTTTAAAAAATTTATATTGTTGGAACCACATCAAACCTTTCTTCTGATATGCGTATTTGTATACTTCGTATATAAACCTTTGAGAAAAAACACTTAAAAGGAAAAAATACCTTTTTTTATAAAAAAAATTTTACAAAAAAATTACTAACTCATTTTTAAAAATTTGGTATCCTTGTAAAGGCGATTCAACACCCTTTCTTTTGGTACGCATATTTGTATACTTCGTATATAAAATTTTTAGAAAAAACACTTAAAAGCACTTTTTTATAAAAAAAATATTTTAAACAAAAAAATTACAAACCGATTTTTAAAAAATTAGTATCGTAAAGGATACCAGAAAACTTATACTTTCTTAAACTCAAAAATTTCTATTTATATACACAAAAAAAAAATTATTAAGAATGATATTTTTTCAAAAATAAATATTTGAAATTTGTAGGGATATTCAAAGATAAAGTTTTAAAAGGACATTTTCAGTACTTATTCGTCCTGGTGCACCCAAAATTATTATTTTTTTCTATTCTACAGAATTTTTCCTTTTAATAGATTAATAGATACTAGATACTAGATTCTACAATGCACCGAATCTTTTGAATAATTTTTTTATGCAATCATATTTTAGAAATTTCAAAGTCCTTTTAAAAAAAATCCTGACGTCAGAGCGAAAAACTAAAAACTATATTTGGCCCCCAGTTTTCTGAATATATTGATTTTTTTCGTGTGTAAAATTGACTGCCGCACGGTGTTATGATTTCATTGACACAAATTTTTAAATATTTTTATGTTGATTTTTTAAGCTTACACTGTTTTGTTATCTGATGGAATTTCTTCAAAAAATTCTTTTAAGAAGCTGTTTTTATTCATAAAAAACTAAATTTTTGGAGGTATTTTCAAACCGGTCCAGTTCACGTAAATATAAGTATTTTTCCGAAATATTTTGGCGGAAGTCTTAAAATATAATAAATTTTGTAATCCCGCCGGATAAACCGCACCTTGTTTTGGTGATGCAGTCTAATGTACTGGGTGTAAAATAATAACTATGCACAGTTTTTTTTTTTTTAATAAAAGTATTTTACTGTTAATTTTGCACATATTATACTTTAATTTTATTAATTAGTTTTAAAATTTTAATTATTATTTGCATTTGCCAGCAGTGTAAACTTTGAGAGATAAGTACATGCGGCACGCAAGTGTTTTTTTCAGGTGTATTTTTACTTAGACTTTACAAAAAAAATACAAAAAAAGAAAAACTGTATGGGGTTGGTCGAATGCATGGCGTCCTTGGCACCAGTTCCGAGTCTAAAAAGGGGGAGTATAAAGGACTTAAAATGGAGGAAATTAGGCTGTGGTTACAGAAGATTTGGAATAAATTAACCGACGAACCGTTTTTCGCTTAAACGGTTCAAGTAAAAATTTAATTTAAAAACTTGAAAGTTTCCCATTCAATTTTACTTTACAGTAGAGTACAAATTTATAAAAAAGTTCATCATGTCGATTCAAAACTTCTGCTTTGTTTCCATAAGCAACGAATTGGAATGTTTCTACCATGATACAAAAAAGAAGGTAGTTTCATTACTACTATTTTTTGATTATAAAACAGATTTTTGACATTTCTCCAGATGTAAACATTAAGCATAGCTTTGCCACATTGAAATTTTTTGAGAGGGGAGATTTTCTTTTAAATATTTGGGATTTAATAAAAGAGTAAAATTTGCATAAAAAAATTGCAAGTTGATGTGTCGATAATCAAATTTGAACGTTTTTCTCAAGCGTTTAAAAGATCCTTTGAATAATATCGATGTGCAGAGATGAAGAAATAAAATAAAATCCAGTTTTAAAACATTTATTTATTAAACAACTTTTTTTTATTTTAAAGGGTGAACACACCAAAACTGCGACACTTAGAAATTACTACCAGAAACAAACTAGCAGGCTTTGAAATTATTATTTTTTGTATTATATAACTTGGAAGTATAGATGTTATTAAAATGCTAAAATATTAGTTATTATTTGCTCCATATGCAAGTGATCGGTATTTTCATCGTACGCGCGCCATCATGTTCTGCACGACTGCATCATCGACTTTACGCGATGCGCACAACTACATTGTTTTGCACTCTTCAATATTTTTCACTGTTTCGACTGTTTTCTTCAAGATTTCTTTGAAAACTGACCAATATTCCCCAATAGGACGTGGCTCTGGGCTATTGGGTGGATTGCAGTCGTGAGGTACAAAATTGATGTTATTTGCATTATACCACGGCAATGTGTCCTTGGCATAGTGGCAGGTTCCCACCTCCGCCTAGAACAGTGGCCTACTCCTTATCTGTTGATAAATGACAGAAGACGCCTTTTGAGGCACTCATCCCGATAAACTTGATCATTCATTGTCCCGGATGGGAAAAAAGGGCTGCTCTTACGGCCACAGGATCAAATAGCTTGCCAAACCATGTGTTTTTTTGGAAATTTGGACTTCATTTTCAGCTTACAACTTTCAGGGGCATCTTGACGACTTGCACCAGTATAAAAATCTTGACCTGCAATATATTTTGAATTTTTATAGCAGTAGGTTTCGTAGTCCATAACAATGCAGTTGTATTTTTTAATTTAGAATCCATACAACTTCCGAGTGCGGGATTTCGCTGTAACATTCTACTTTGCGCCTCGGTCTGGCGCTGTTTGAGCTGTATAACATCTCAATGAAGCTTTCCGCTTTACCTTTTGTACGAAAAACTGCGATCTGCGTACGGATTTTGCAACATAACGCGACAAAATCTTCGGATTTCGCGAAAACGCACTGAGGACCTTCCGAGCACTGTTTTTATCACTTTGACCATGCTAACCCCCGCTCCCTGGGTTTCTCGTAACTGCCAGGCCTTATTTGTACCGATTCAACCCCTGCAAACTGTCGAATAGTGCAATCTTTAACTTTTTAGCAATTTTACGTGTACTTAAGGCCGGATCATTTATAAACTCGTGCAAAATGGTTTGTCTCGTTTCTAACTCGGTTGCCATTTTTAACTCAACTAGGAATCAAATTCAAATGAAATTTCTTCTACGTCCAACTAAGGTCATGTGGTATTTGAATTTCAAAATATTGAATTCGTTTTGGGTAAGTTATAAGCTTCCCAAAGTGTCGCAGTTTTGGTGTGTTCACCCTTTATTTTAAACAAAACAAATATATTTGCATAACAGAACTATTTTTTTTTTAATAGTCCAAAAAGATGTATTGTGAGCTATTTCGTCATTAAAGCATAGTCCGAATGGTCTCACTGCCCTCACAATTAAAGGAGCCAAAATTCAGAATTCTCCCGAAGTGAAGTATCTAGAAGTAATTCTGTATACAAAACTGTCGTGGAAATCTAACGTGGAACACAAAACCTCTAAAGAATTGGCAGCATTTTGGCAATGTAAACAGGTATGGTGGAGCAGATTCTCATTCAAGAGCGTGGGAAGTCAGCTTGCAAAACTTCAAAGAACTACTGCCGTGTGCTGTACGGAAGCTTTCTCTACAACACGTGGCGCTGCTCTGATGCACTGCTGCGTTTACCGTCACTTTGTTACTTCATACGTGGCCTTAAAGGCCACCTGCAAAATAGAAAGAAACGGATGCCGGTATAACACTGAGTGGGGCGAGGTGGAGGGGAATGAGTTTACATGTCTGCGGTGACAGACGAGCTGCACTTAAGGCATTGGGCTGCCCTCTAACTACTTACTTCCAAACTCTGGGTGCCAGTTCAATCGGAACTACCTCCTATCGTCCATAACCATATTATCTTTCATATCATGAAGCACCGAAAATTAAAGCCTTACTGGGGCTAACGTTTGCAAAGCACATCCAAATCCTTTTCGGTGATTGGCTTTAGAATAAACGAATTTAATAATAACAAATTTTTGCAGTGGACAACATATTTAGCGGTCTTTTGTTTCAAAGAAAAAGTTGTTTGGTTGTTTTTCAAATATGGCGATGTATGAGTTCCATTTTCGTTATTGCTCAGATCGAAGACAAATTTCCTTTTAATTTTGTAAATAATTTTTTCAAAATAAATAAATGATTATTGATGACTAGGTATGGCAGCACGAAATGTCACAATCTGCTTAATTGTCAGGTAGTTAATATGGCGTCCGAAAAGTGACAATGAAACTACCTTCTTTTTTGTATCATGGTTTCTACCTTACTTCCAAATAGGATGATTTTGTTTGCACAATTTATATTCATGTTTCTTTAATTAGGACACACTGCAGCCGTTGTGCTCAATTTCATGTGTTTTGCTGACGGTATTGGAACCAACGGAAGCCGAATTTACACTTTTTCAAGAAGGGCAACGGAACTCTGAAAAATCACAGCGATCGCAGCTGGATTTGTGTGTTGTGATATTTCGAACACGCTCGGCGGTGTCACCAGAAATTGGAAGACTAGTGGAGCATAGCAAACGTCAGGTACCCATTTTCTTTATACATGCTATTAAAAATACTGCAATTTTGCGAACTTAATGTGACCATCTTTCCATTTAGGTTCGCGGATTTGTTGGCTGTCATAAAATGTTGGAACGTGATATATATTTACTAGTTTGTCTGGCATTTAATCATTGGCATACTGGGATCGAAGAACCTCAACAATATCCCCAGTGCATTCTAGCAATACACAGTTCAAAACGCCTACTCGTGGAGCAAATCACACCTTCGCCGCATTTGCTAGCTGATGCCATAATAAGTCTGACTTTGACAAAAGGCCAACGCCACGAAGGAAGAGAGGGAATGACTGCCTATTATCTAACAAAGGTATTGCGAATTTTACGGACATTTACATGTCTGCAATTCAAATTTTTATTATGTATGTTTAGGGATGGGCTGGTTTGGTGGTTATGGTTGAAAATCGTCACGAAAATAAGTGGATACATGTCAAATGTGACTGCCAAGAAAGCTACAATGTTGTATCTACAAGAGGTGAATTAAAGACGGTTGACTCGGTCCCACCTTTACAACGGTAAGCGTATCTCAACGGCCACGTATCTCAGTTTTACATAGTAAACTAAACTGTTATTCACATAAACTAGGCAAGTTATCATTGTTTTAACTCAGCTAGAAGGAAGTGGTGGATTTAGTATTGCTCATCGGCTAACACATCGACTTGCAAACTCCAGGGGACTTCACGACTGGGGGCCTCCAGGAGCAACGCACTGCCCGCCAATAGAAAATGTTCATGGACTACATGCGCCTCGTTTGATTACCTAAATCTCCAACATTCTAGTCAACGTTTTGCGTAACTGATATACACATAAATATTTATAGATACAAGGACGAGTATACGTAGGTTTAATAAATAATTTGAATGTTTTGTTTTCCTAATAATGTAAGGCAAAGTGAATAAATATCAAGAAACATAATTTCATTTCCCCCAATTGTTCTCTACGATGCAAATAAGGACCAAGTGACTTATTACGACGACAAAAATATAAAAACAAAATTCTTTAAACCTTATCACACTTTAAAATACACTTTATAAACCGGTCCACAATGCAACATAGGAATTTTGACTTCTAACGCAACTTAGTAGCTTTAGCACAACCGCAAAGTTTGCTTTTCTTTCGTTCGTCGAACTAATGTATATATATTTTTTTTTAAGTGGTGATAAAATAATTTCCTTTGTCATTTGATTCTTATTAATAAATAACAGTTTTGTCAACATGAATAGTGAGGCGCCAGGCGAGTACTTTATTTTGCGATTTTTGTTAATATAGTTGTTTTGAAAATGGTTATAATCAAGGTACATTGAACAGGTAGTATCAGTAGAGCAGCTGATTTGATTTATTTTCAAATTATTTGGTCTCGAAAATGCGAAATATTTTTAATTTTTTCTCACAAAAATTCTGAATTGTTAAAATCCATTTGCATGTGAAACCTTTTTGCATACAAAACAAGCGATTGAATAGCAGCTTTTGGAACGTTCGCCCAACTCAGCAGCACAACCGCTGATTACTGGCCCTTGTAAAGGATGGATCAATGCTTCGAGAAGCAAACAAATTTACTAGGAAAGAAAGTTGCAACAATTTTTATTTTTTCCAATTTCAATTTTTTATTTTTTATAATTTTTTGTATTTCACATGGCACGCTTTGATTTAGAAGAAAAAATTCAGAACAGTTTTTGACACTTTCGATACCAGAAGCAACAACAAAATACACGCAAATGTTGTTTTTGCTCTACTGATACTACCTGTTTAATGTGCCTTGGTTATAATACATATTTTATAAAACGCCTTTTTTATTAAAAAAGTTTTGAATTTTTTTGTTAGTTAGAGTTATAAAAAAGTTTCAACGAGTGCAGCAATTTCTGTTCAATATTTTGTAAAAAATATCAAGAACTCGTCCCCATGTTTCCCCCTTGATTAAATAGAACATCTTTTTAAGTCGCATATTGGAACGAATCGAGAATCTAGGACGACAAATATGTTTACTTCATATGTATTTGACTAACTTCGATGAAATTTGGTACATAGGGGTTTTCGATGTGACTGATTACGAATATGATATTAAGTTTTCAAAATTAAGATTGGCGGATTCAATATGGCGACTTCTTTTTAATTACACAGGCCAACAAAATTTAAACAATGTTATGTATGTATTATATATCGCAAACGTCAAGCTGTGAGGTTTTACTTTATCGTGCTCTGATTTTGGCTTTCTATTTGCTAAGTTTGGCTGACTTCCAAAACGTCAATTGCTTTGCATACGTACAAAGTGTAATGTTCCATAACGCCGAACTACAAAATGTTGACGATGTATACTTTACCAAAACGCATCCGAAAATTTATCGAAACGCATCGCTAGCGCAATCAGCGCATCAGAAACAAAGTTGATGCTTCGTTTGTTATTGGTTACCATTGGTGTTTTAAAAATGGAAAATTCAGAAAAAATGTTCAATGCTATATTGAGTATTTAAAATATGCATTTGAATACCGCAGTATAACAGTTTCCAAACAATGTATTGATACGTTTTGGAAGTCAGCCTTTATTGTGCTAATTCTGAGTTAAAGTAGTGATAAAAAGTGCTTGAGCATCTTAGTATGAAACAACTGAAGCTAAGTGAAAGTGATTGTGTTTTATATTAAACTAAATTTAATTAAATTTCACTAGCTGACATTCTAATATTGCCGAGTCATTTGTTGCTATCATTGTTGTTGTATCCTTTGTAGTTAACTGAATTCATTTTGTTTTTGCACATTTGTTCTACTCTTTTTGTTTACTTCTTCTAGTAATTCTTGTCACACCTGTTTGCGTTGTGTTTATTAAGTGTCATAATTACAGTGATACTCAAACTGTTCGCTACATTTATTTAAAGCTATTTACATCAGCTCCTTAATTGTTATAAATTATTTTGTTTGTCTTTTTATTAACGAGTGTTATTACATAAATCTTTCAATATGAAGTGCGATCTTGATACTTGCCAAATTAAAAGCGATTCTGAACGCTACTTATCGTGCTGGCTGTGTGATGGTTTTACCATCTGAAATGTATTGGTTTGACGGGAAGAATTCTGGACGCTATTAATGATGGCAAGGGCCTTCGCTGGTCTTGCGTAAAGTGTATGTCAACCGAAGTTGATCTTTTCAAGCTAATTAGGCAAACCAGAAATGGTTTTACAGAAATAGGAAGAGAATTGTCGGTACTGACAGAAAAATTTAAGAATTATGAAAATGTGTTTAAATCATTCAAATGCTTAGATACCTTGCAATCTGTTAAGGATATCCGTGTGTCTAAACGTAAGCGTCTTCATAGTCCATCTAAGGAAATAATTGCCGTTGCACGTCAGAATAATCTTCCGACTGACTTAATTAATCTAACTTCTCCATGTCCTCCAGCATCAGAATCCTCAGCCTTAAAAGAGCGTGTAACGAAATCTTCTTCGGATAATAACGAGGCTGAAGTATCTTCCCCTTCCCCCATTGAAGTGGTGGCATCATCTTCAAAGCCTCCACCGCCTTCCCTATCCTCAACTACTAACTCAACCCCTTCCACCGGTACTCCAGTCTGATACAAGGAAATTAGTTGTGGTTCCGCCAAAGAAGTCAATCTTTGTCTCTAAATTTTCGAGAGACACTACCGAAGACGATATAAAGCTTTATATCTCATCAAAAATTACAACTGTCGACTTAAGCATCAGAAAATTTAATTTTAAATACGAAAGAAATATTGCTTCATTTAAAATTGACGTAAATTTATATAATTTTAGTGCGCTGCTTAGTAGTTCTTTTTGGCCCCCGGAGCTTTCGTTCGTGAATTCGAATATAGGCCCAAAAAAGGAAATAACTTAGCTAATATTTCCCGTCATAACACTGAATAAAAAAACTAATTATTAAATCTGCTTTAAGTATTTATTACCAAAACGTTAGAGGCTTAAATACTACATTAACGAACTTATACCTTAAAAACCTTGAATGTAATTATAATATTATTTCTTTTACTGAAACTTGGCTGAAACCTCACATTTTCAATTCAGAGATTCTTCCAAATAATTATAATCGGCGGTGGCGTACTCTTCGCTGTAGACTCTTCAATACCATATGAAGAAGTTAGTCTTCCACACATTTATTCAGTAGAATTCAAATGCATTCGTGTACAGGCTGGAAAAGAGTATTTATTTAGCTCTATGCTATATCCCTCTATATCCCCCCTCTGATTCAATGATTGTGTAGGGTGATTTTAATTTACCAAGCATATCATGGAACAACATTGACAATGATATCGTACTTTTCGCGTCTAGTGCGTGCAACAACGTATTTTTAGAGGAGATGGCTGAACTCTGCCTAACTCAGGTTAATGTACTTCACAATAAGTTTGGTAAAGTATTAGATCTTGTTTATGTTGATGATGCACAGGGTAGGCAAAAACTCGGAGTTCGAGCGAGCGAGCGAGCAAACTCCTACTCAATGCCTCGCAGGCAACGAGGCGCTCGCAGCTCGTACTCGTAGCAGCAATGAGGCGAGGCACGAGAAGTTTGGCTTGCTCGGCAAACGAGCGAGCGCTGCTTGTTTCCTCGCGCTCCTATTAAACGAGCGAGGCTGTTGTGTGTTGCCTCGCTCGCGGTGCCAGGCGAGTAGCTGGCTGATCAGTGATCACTCGCTCTGCTAGGTAAGACGAGTGAGCGACGAGCGAGCGCTCCGAGTGTACTATAAATCACACGCATTTTTGTGCAAAAAAAATGTGGGAATGTATGTCAATAGATTATGTACGAAAGTATGTTAATAATTGTATGTACATATGTGCATATGCATATAAATATGTGAATATTATATTAGGGCAGCATTTAAAACAACAAATAAAATTTATTACATACATAAGCATACATTATGGAATGAAATATTTTTTTATAGTTATATACATATATGTATATGTACATACGTACATACATACATAACATGCATAGTTATATATGTATGTATGTATGTATGTATGTACATATGCATGTATTTTGTCTTTACAGAGAAAAGTAAGTAACGAAGATATTATAATCGTTTGTGCCGCAGAAACAAAAAACAAGTAAGCACTTGTAACACCCCCAAAAAAGTGATATACAAGTCGTTGTTGCGAGTGGACGTGTTTTACTAATGGTGTTCTTACACGATATGTATTTGCATGTGTACATGCCACTTTTTACATATTGAAATATCAACATATCGTGTAAAGGCAAATTAGATTTGTCTCTGTACAAAGCAGATGCACGTACATACTACAAATACAAATACAAGTACAAATAGAAATGTTTATATTTTCATCTGACACACAGATAGAATCATCTGAGTTTAGTTTATTTCGTTTTCAAAGAACGTATTTTTAAATAGTTAAATAAAGACTTTGAATTTGACAGACATACGCAAATACATATGTATTGAAAAAGTCAAATACATGTCGTGTAAGAACACCTTAAGCTCTGAGTCGGTGAATTTTTTTCTCCTTCAAATTGACAACTTTATTAAAATAATAACATAGCGCCTGAGGCAGTGACTCTTATGTGTTTGGAACTAATAAGTTTGTAATTATTAGTTATCCAATATGCCGTGTATTTGTGGTCAAAAAGTTGACCGTATGAAAGTTAAAACAAAAATTCAATGTGAAAATTGCAACGAGATTTTTCATATGAAATGAGTTGGTGTTTTGCCTGCTGACTTGGATTTCTTAGAGAGCTCTGGAAATAAATATTTTTGCAACGAGTGTACCGCTGCTCGCAAAAGATCCATCCGCACCTCTCCCCCTAACGTTAATTGGGAAGATGCAGCCGCAGCTAAGAGTACATCGTCATCTAATTCGCCTAGCCTCTCACAACTATCTCTTAATCCTAAGAATGTGGCTGATAATCAATTCAATCAAAGTTCTTCACCAATAATATGTA